GGAAAAGATTTTATGGATAGTGATCATCATTTTAACTACACAAGACAAAGACTATAATCTGATTTTTAAATAGTGATAAAAGCATAGGTCAAACAAGACTTGTTGAAAAAGAGGCTCCGATCTTTCAGTAAGAGATTAAATATTATGATGACATAGAGAGCAGGAGGGAAGTTTTCTCCTGCCAACAAAAATGATTTCACTTAGGGGGAAAAAAAACTACCCAACGCCTCTCACCTTTGAGAAAGATTTAAATAGCCGAGAGGAAGCCAGAAAAATTGATACTTGTTACAAATATCTACTTCCTGAAAGGAAAAAAAAATTAGTATCCTAGAGAGAAATTCGATAGAAAGCAAATCAAGCAAATACCAAAACAAAATTCCCAGTAATGTTATTTCAATAAAATGTGGTGTTTTGGTACAGAACGTCAATGATAATTTTTGTACATATATCAAAATTGCCTTCCTCTTCCTTCTTACCCCACTCAGCATTGATGATACATTCCCTTTTCTTTATCAATAATAAATCCAAATCTAATTATAAGAGATATCCCCGACCAGAGAACCTGGAAGATCTGATCTCAGTTGTGACAAAACCCCCTTTTTTCGTACATCTCAAATACATTAGGTCTGACGAGTCTATCTAGTCTCTAGTCTCTGTTTCAAACTCCTGCATGAATCCGTAAGTCCTTGACCAAGCTGCGTTTTGCTCTCAAGTTTCACTCAGCTTCTCTCTTACAACTTGGCTTTGTTCTCTTTGCACTTTGCTAAGCTCCTTTCACTTGTTGACCTCTCCTGGGAACTGACAACCTGCTTTGGTCTTTCTGTAGCTGAGGCCAATCTATATTTTGTCCAGTTCTTTACTCCCTGGCTTCTGTGACATACTTATATGGGTTCCAATTTCCCCATAGCCTATATGTAACCTTTCAGTGGAGAAGGAAATATGGGATTATGTCCCCTTGTGCTTAGAAATATATTTAGTGATATATTAAATAATGAGAACCTAGAGAGTGAAAGTTTTCAGAATATAGTTCAGGAGAAAATTAAATTCTGAGATAACATGAAAGTGCTGAAGATTTGGTCATAACAACAATAATCTATTAAAGATTTCTAAATAACATATCATAATTAGTTAGAGGTCCAACTAATATCACGAAGTCACATAGCTGTTCTAATGTGATCAAGAGTATCTTTTGAGGGGAATTTACAAAGATAGTGCTTTTCACAAACAAGAATCTCTCCAATTCCACCATAATTTGCATGTTACATCATTTCAAATTTTAATTTTTTCAAAAAATACAATTTATCCTTGATATTCTTTGAAATCAGAAAATCTATCAAGAAAATATATGTATCTATACATACTACATGCTACATAGCATATAGTATTATATATAGTATATAGCTATATATACTATAGGCTTAGAATTTAGTATATACAATATATATGATATGCTATATGTGCTCTTAGAATTTAGTTATATAATTTATACTATAAAATATAGACTATATGACATATAGTCTATATAATATATAGTATATGTGCATGTATACACAATATATCATATAATATGTATATGTACTACATATGGTATATATGTGTATGTATTGTGCGCATGCTCACACACACACACACACACACACACACACACACACACACACACACACACTTCCTTTTAGTTTCATCTAAATCAGGAGTTCTTGACCTGAGGCCTATAGATCTCCAAGGCTTCAATGAATAGATTTCAAGGGGGTCCCTGAACTTGGAAGGGAAAAAAAATTCATCTTTCTTTTCACTAACCCCAACTGAAATTTAGCATTTCTGTCAATTATAAATTTTAAAAAACATAGCATCCTGGGAAGGGGTCCACAGTTTTCCTCTGACGGCCAAAGAAGTCTAGGACACAAAAAAGATTTAAAACGCCTGATCTAAATAAAAACAATCTATTTTCACATCGCATGGGACTAATTAAAACAAAATAAGAAATACTTAGAATGGACCAACCTCCATAAGATTTGTAAAACACTGTATAAAAGCTGCCGAGATTCATTTGCAACAAGCCCCACTAAAAAGGCCCAATTCATATATGTAAATTGACAGGCACCTTCTCTCTATTTTATTTTAAAATCAATTAGTCTTATGAAGATACAAATTCTGAACAATTTTGGTACAGTGCCGATGGCTGTTTTTTTGATAAGGCTGTGACACCGACGTATTTTAATAACATTGAGTTTTGCCATTACTCTGCTACAGGAAAGGGGGACAGAATTAACTCTTCCTTTAGGGGATTAGAAGTGTGATGCACACTCAAGCAGTTGTTACATGAACTCATGTTCTGAAAGAGAAAGAAAAAATGCCAACCAAAACCTGAGGCAAGCAAAGTTTCTTTAGTTGTACAGATTAACCTTCACTGACAATTTATTTGATGGGCTCTAGTTACTGAACAGTGAGGCTCTTTTTCTTTTTCTTTTCCTTTTTTTTCTTTTCTTTTTTTTTTTTCCTAGCTGACTTCTTTATGTGACTACTGCATTGTCCATCATTTTAAGCAGTTGTTACGGGATGGGCTAGTAGGAAGGGAGAACATGAGAAACTATCTCATCATAGCTGCTTATGTCTACAGGATATTAGTGTTAGAAGGGACTTGAGAGTTTTAGTCCAGACCTCTTATTTTATTACTTTTAAAGTTTTATTGATGGCTTACTTTTACTTTTCTTATATCTCATTACTTTTTTTTACTTCATCCTTCTTTGTCCCCAAGAATGCTTCCCTCGTAACAAAGGTTTAATTTTTTTAAAGTTTTACAAAACCATGATGCATTGACCATGTCTCACAGTATATATAACATTCCACACTCCAGTCCCCTATCTCTCCACTGACACTACGTCTTCTTTGGGGCAAAGATCAGTCATTATAATTATACGGTTTTTGCCTTTATTTTAAGAGGAGGAAACTGAGGCCTTGTGAAAGGAAATGTGTCCCTTGCTTAGAGTCAGGCAGATACTTAGAGGCAGAAGTAGGCGTCTGGGAACACAAATTTCCTAACCTGATGTGACTCCACTCCTCTTTCCATTATATAACATCATCTCCCTTTCCCTCTTCATCCATAGCTGCTCTATCTGTGAGAAAAAGGGATGGGGGAAGGTGACCATTATACCTGGTCCTGGCTGAGTTTTCCAATTGTGTTCAAATAAATTAACTTGGGCCTTTTGATACTACAGGAAAAGGAGTCAGACTGAACTATTTACCAAATTTGAAGTACTCAATAGAATCCTTTAATAGTGAAACCCATAATAGTGAAATCAATCCAAGCACTCCAAATCATTTCAAGTAAATCCACATCATCTACAATGACAATAACCACTCTTCCTAGGAAATTTTCTAGGGTTCCTGACCATCCAGGGCAGTCATACAAGTTCGGGCAATTTTGGTCAAACCTGGATATCATCAGGTCACCACAAAAATCCTTAGCTTTATAAATATGTGTCTGACATCCAGATAATTGTGAAAGTAATGTCATTGAACCTTTCAACTTCTTGTTGTTCGGTTGTTTCAATAGGGTCCAACTCTTTGTGATCTCATTTTGTGGTTTTCTTTTTTTTTATTTAATACTTTTTAAAAAATAATTAATTTATTTTGAATTATCAACCATCACTTCCATAAGCTTTTGAGTTTTAAATTTTTCTCTCCCTCCCTCCTCAAGACAACACGCAATCTGATATAGGCTATACATATACATTCCTATCAAGCATATTTTCACATTAGTGATGTTGTAAGTAAGAATTAGAACCAATAGGAGGAACCACCAGAAAGAGGAAACAAAACTCAATAGAAGAAAGAAAAAAAAATTGCAAATAGCATGCTTCAATCTGCATTCAAACTCCATAGTTCTTCGTGGTTTTCTTGACAGAGCTCCTAGAGTAGTTTGTCATTTTTCCTTCTCTAGCTCATTTTACAGATGAGGAACTGAGGCAATCAGGGCTAAGTGACTTGCCTCGGGTCACGTAGCTAGTCAGTATTTGAGGCCAGATTTGAACTCATGAATATGAACCTGGCACCCTTTCCACTGACCCACCTATATATATATTTGGTATTAAATGAAATGTTAGGAAAGTGGTTCATTTTCCATGTTCTACTTTTCTTTCATGCTCTTCATGCTGTGACTAAGTCTACACAGCCCAAAGCAAAATGGATAATTAAGGCTAGGTAATTGCTCTTTCCCCCAATTATCCATTTATTTTAGGCAAAAGAAAGTATTTTTAGTTGGCATTTATGTGGGTGATCTGTGGCAGTTCAGGCCACATTGTGTCCAATATAAGCCTCACTCACGTATCTTGACTAATTATAATTCCAGTATGAAAAGCAGTTACAAAAACTCATCTGTGAACTCTGAAAATGAAGAATCCGGAGAAGCTGACAGCTGGTAACAATTTATGCTACTTGTTCTATGACGTTTTGCAGAATAAGAGGAAACTCGGACATGAAAAACTGAATTTGTTTGTGGCCCTGAAAGACAGACATCAGTAGTTAACTCTTTCTCATTTTGCAGATGAAGAATATGTGATTTGAGCTGCTACAGTGATTTGTTCAGTCACCTAGTTAATCAGTGGCAGGACTTAGGTTTTCCTCATCACAGGCAGGATTCAGGGCAGCAAGGGGTGTGTACATTTGCAACTAGAGCTACTTTTAAGTATACTTTTTAATGCGCATACTTATAATGCCAGGAAATTCCATTCCCCATGGTATGTGGCTTTGAAAAAAAAATCAAGATGCTTGTGTTATGGTAGAGGCTCAAGGCCTCTAGTACACACAGGAGGGGAAAATGTTTGAACCTTGTCTACAGCACATAAATGCTGCGTCTGTGATCTGTTGCCAGGCCTTTTTTTTTGAGGGGTACTCCTTTACTCCTTTCCATTTCACGCTCTGAGAACAACAGTCAAATCAACACGACCAGTTCTGGAAAGGGCATATTGTCAATTTATTGATTGCCTTATGATTCTACTCACCATCCCTGTTTCTTCCTTGACCAAAATACCATTCCTCTAGCCACCATGCTCTTATATGTGCTGTCTTTACTGTGAGAACAATAACAATAATAGAATAATTGCAATATCATCAGGAAACAGAATTTTTTTATGATTCTCAATGCTAAAACCTTCTCTCTGAAATTATTTTCAATTTATCCTATATATATCTTATTTATATATAGTTTGCATGTTTTTTCCCATTTAGAATGTGAGCTCCTTGAAACAACGACTGGTTTTTGTCATCGTCGTGGTTGTTGTTGTTTTTGCCTTTCTCTGTATTGCCAGCACTTAGCATAGTGTCTGGCACATAGGAGATATTGAGTAAATGCTTTTATTATTCATTCATTCATTCATTCATTCATTCATTCATTCATTCATTCATGGCAACCAAGATTACAAAAGGAAGTATCTATGACTCCTATTTTTTCTGGCTCCTCATAATTCCTTAAGTGGAACAGTGGGCGATTCTCCTTTCCAGCTTTACGAAGAAAAAAAAAATAACCCTATACATCTAGAAGGAAGAAAGTTTACTACTGTATGTGTATAGGGAGGGAGGGAAGTCGGATCTAACAAATTCAGGTAGGTTGGCAGTGGGTTTTCCCTTTGGTTTACAAGAGCTGGGCCTACAGGCTGATTGACTTACGCTCCTGTCCCACTATGTTTAGCTTGCACAAGAATACCACTGGCATCATTCCATTGGCTCTCACTGGACAAATATACTAACTCAATCCCTTTTCATTAGTATAACATTAACTAACAAATTTTAAAGATATATAAAAATAGATTATCTACACTTGTGTGGGGTGGGAGAGGAACAAGGCAATGAAATAGAAGGGAACTAGTGGGCTTTTGGGAGAGTTCAATGCTTCCCTACTCCCTGGGGACCCAGTGTCTGAGCACCCCATGCTCTCCAGATTCTAGAAAAGGCCATGTCTCTGGATAGAATCCCCACCCTTCACCAGTACAGAAAAAAATGGAAGACTTTCTTGTCCAAATAAAGCCTAGAAAAGGATAGTATAACATTAGAATTCACCAACAACCTCTGAGAGGCTTTTTTAAAAAATAGATCTACAAGTTTAATATGATTTTCAATTTTTTTAAATCTTTAAAAAATTTTAAATGATTACTCCTCAAAGCAAAAAACCACCATTCTTAAATGAAATAGAGAAATCCATCAGTGGTGTTTCTAAATGACGATACATTTTTACACATGAAAGTTCTGTCAGTATTCCTGAATAGGTAATCAGCTTTTTCTTTTCTGTTTTTTAAAAATAAAAACACTTTCTTATGTGTATTGAGCACCTTTACCTCTTCTTGCAATCACAGGATAATTATCTGGTGAAAATTAACTAGTACTGTATATTGAGAAGAAAATGCTTATCAAAATATGAAAACTCTGGACACACCAAGAGTTACCATAAATTTATATATTTATGAATTTATTATTTTTTACCTGGCACCTGAGAATAGGAATAAAAACAAAATAAAAACATTATGTTTTGTCTGCTCTGGACACTCTACTGGTCATAACTCTATCAATACATCTGGAATGGCATTTGTGAAATTCAATCCTGTCCTTCTAATGGTATTTTTGTGCTGTTAGGAAAGTATGTATGAGCTCAGAAATATGTGACACATGGATGAGGAGTTTGTGATCTTGGCATTTGGAGTTCAAGGTTAACTATTTTCTCATAGACAGAATTGAGGAAGGCATGATAGATCTGGGGAGTAAACTCCGCTAATTATATATTTGGGGGATAATTCTTCTTTGGGCCCACTACATTCCCTATTACATGGTCTGAAGGGGTGCCTGCTAACCATGTCCTGTGCTGGCATCTGCTTATGTTTGCTGAGATATGCTCTCTGAGACAGTGCCCAAAGGGTGTACAGACTGGTGCACAGTAATCATTTTCTGTGCATTCTGCCTAGGTACTGCTCCTTTCTCAAAATGGGGCATGTCAGGAAGAATGTAGGTTTAGAACAAAGAAATTATCTGCCCTCTTGCCTCCAAATCCATCTCTTTTCCAGCTGGTCAAAGGAAAAACGTGTATGGGATCTCCTTGCGACTTCCTTTCTAATTTAAAGAGATGTAGGAAGTTAAATTTCCTTCAGGGCCGCACAAAAATTTCAACTTTCTCACCCTTCTGGCCTTCATAATACTATAGATCAACCCAGGATCTCCTTGTGTAATGAAAGAAAAGAATGCTATTTCATGTTTACTTTCCCAATAGCATACATAGAAATCTAGACAAACCCTTCTTCTACCTCCAGAAAGAAGTTAGAATCACTGGGGTCCCCAGATAAAATTATTTTGAAGCCACTGGTTTAGCATGACTCAGTTCACAACCTCCTGAGGTCACCTTGCTCTTCAACCTGCTAAAGTACCTTGTCTCAGGTCTGCTAATTTAGGAAAGGGACATCTCTAACTGCCAAAAATGCAATGTGAATTACACTAAAAGTATTTTTGAGTCATAGGATCTGGGACTTAAGAGTTGGAAGGAACCTTAAAAGCCTTCCAACCTCCTCAATTTACTGATGAGGAAACAGTTCCAGTGAGATTAAATGACTTGCCCAAGATTACATAGAAAACTTTTGATAAGCCTCTGAAATTTATTCATATTTTCATAAGAAAATGGCATGGATTCAACTTGGAGACAAGATAGGACATTTTATCTATAATCCACTTTCTCTACAATAACAATGACATCTTATATCTGCATAGTGCTTATGTTTTTCAAAGTGCTTTCCCATATACTATTCCATGTTATATATCAGATCAACAATACTCTATGAGGCAGCATGGCATAAGAGAGAGAGGGAGAGCCATGCAGCAAGGAAGACTGAGTTCAAGTTCTGACCCAAACTGGTTGTTTGACCCAGGGCAAGTCAATCAACCTCTCAGTGCTCTAAGCAACTCTCTTACAATACAGACTGCAGAAGGGTTACTAATCTCTATTGGTGGAGATAATTTTCTTATTTGGAAGTTCCCTAAACCACTGAAATGACAGATCCAGTTTCCTCTATCAGATCAGAACCTCACATTCTTAGCTTTTTGCCCTCTCATCAAGGGCCTGGAGTGATATGTTACCCCTCTGAGCTAGCTAATTTCACCTGTCTTCCAAGGGTCTCATATCCCTCTTCTATTTGGCCAATTTTTCTTTTTAGGATATTCTTCTCCTCATTGGCTTTTTGGACCTCTTGTGCCATTTGGGTTAGGCTATTTTTTAAGGTGTTATTTTCTTCAGTATTTTTTTGGGTCTCCTTTAGCAAGCTGTTGACTTGTTTTTCATGATTTTCTTGTATCACTCTCATTTCTCTTCCCAGTTTTTCCTCTGCTTCCCTTACTTGCTTCTCAAAATCCCTTTTGAGCTCTTCCAAGGCCTGGGACAGATTCATATTTTTCTTGGAGGCTTTGGATGTGGGAGCTTTGACTTTGTTGTCTTCTTCTGGTTGTATGTTTTGATCTTCTTTGTCACCAAAGTAAGATACTATAGTCTTTTTGTGCTGCTTGCTCATGATCCCAGCCAATTACTTGAGTTTTAAACTCTTTGTTAAGGTAAGAGTCTGCTTCCAATGTGGAGAATTTACTGTTCCAAGCTTTATATAGCTGTTTTCAGAGATACCTGTAGGGACCTGTAAATTTTCAGTTCTTGCAAGGTAGTGGATAAGGGGTGAGGTGTTTACTCCTTTCCTGGCCTCTGCTGTGGTCTATTAGTGATCACAAGCACTCCTTTCTGTTCTAGAACTGTGAGGAAGGTTTCCTGTCTACAACCACTACGAGCTCCATCGTGCCAGTGCTCCTCCTCACCCCAGAACCCCTGTCCAGAACTGTGACCCAGATCCAAGCACGGGCAAAGCAAGAGATTCCTGCCTCAGCACCAGCAGAGATCCCTGCAATCCCCACTCTGGTCAGCCATTCGATTCCCCCTCAGTCTGTGGGCCGGAAGCTCGGGAAGTAGATGCCCACCCCAGAGCCACGCTCTGCGCTCTCAGGGAACTGGAGCTGAGACCCTGCCTTCCTCTCTCAGCACCACAGAAACAGACTTTTCCCACTGAACTTCTAAGTTGTCTTTGGCATTGGTGGATTCAGGAGTCTGGAAACCACCACAGCTGCCCACAATTCAGTCCTCTGAGGCCTGTTCCAGGTTTGCTGCGCCTGTGCTCCCATGCCCTGCTGCGCTACTCTTCCAGCCCGATGGAATATACCTTTCTGATCAATCATCCAGATTGTCTTGGGCTGGAAGTTTGATTCATTCTGTCTTTCTGTGAGTTCTGCTGCCTTAGAATTTGTTTACAGCCATTTTTATAGGTATTTGGAGGGGTTTGGGGGAGACCTCAAGCCTCATATCCCTCTTCTGCCAAGCACTTTACCCCTCCCCTGCCAGCAATTTCCTTTAAAATGAAAGGCAAAGAGAGAACAGTTATAATCTTGAATAGAAAGTAAGGAAGGTGGTTGAATGGGAATCCATTCTGACAATATACCTCTAGACAAATACAATTACAGAGCACTTTTTTTCTCCTCCAGAGGTGATTTCAAAATTGACTCACAGGTTTAAGGAAAAGAAAAGCCCCTACAGTGTTTATAAGGATTGTCATTAATGGTAAGGCAGTCACTCACTCACACACACATACACACACACACACACACACACACACACACACACACGAAGGGATAATTCATATGAGTGGAAAAAAATACCCATTAAGTAAATACATTTTTAATTGGTTGGAAAAGGAGGGTGTTACAAACATTGAAGGTATAGATAGGGTTAAGAAACTTTACCAAAATTAAGCAAGTAACAGCATGGTGTAGTGAAGAATCCTAATGGCTTTTGAACGAGGAGATCTAGATTCAACTCTTGCCCACGACATCATTGAACTGTTACCACAGGCTAATGATTTAACCTTTCTTAGCATTAGTTTCTTTACCTGTCAAATGAGAATAACACTTGCATGATCTACCTCACAAGGTTATTGACTTCATTAAACTTCAAAAATACCATATATGGGCAAGTTACTCTTACTACCACCTCACTAAGAAGGCTTTT